TGCTCAAATGAAGTTGGCAAGCCAAAACAGGGAGAAGGACGCCTGAGCTGTCATGATGGGGAGATGCTCAATTTCTTGGGCAAGTCACGAAAGCGATTTCTTGGGAGCTTGCGGAAGTTGCCGTTCCTTTTGGGTGGGGGAGGGGATTTCCCCTTGCCCCCCCCCCCCCCCCTCACGCCGTGTGATGTAGGTGTCGTGTCCTGGTTTTAAATGTCCCAGGAGAATGGGGAGTTCCAATCGCTCATCTTGGAGCAACGCGAGAAGAAGGTGGCACTTCAGCAGGCCTCGTCGCGCAGTTCGCACCAAGCGGCCCTAGCGAGCTGCAATCCAACGTCTTGACGTTGAGGCTTTGGCTGTCCTCAAGGATCTGTATGCTTCGCAGGCCTCGTACTGGTAATTCTGAGCGGGGCACTTGACCGGAGTTGGACTTGCGTTGGCTTGCAGGGCGCAGCCTTTGTCCAGACTTCTGCATCCGAGGAGCCAGAAGGCATGCAATTTCCTGAGATCGATTCGCTGGCTTCCCTTGTGCTGCTTGCAGGCTTCGGAGAATACAAGCAGGCTTCCGGAGGCTGCATGGGTGTGGCCGTCTCCATTTCATGGATCGTCGTGAAGCAGCCTGCGCACCTAAAGGCAAGGGCGTCCTCGCAACTATCCAGACAGTTATCCAGGACACGGAGGCAAGGGTTAACCCTCAGCCGGTGAAGCTTTTTGGCCTTCCCTTTCCCAGGCTCTTTCAACCGAAGCCGCTGAAGCGGAAAAGACAACTCAGAAGAGCTACGAGGTGCTTGAAGAGCGCTTTCAAGTGCTTTGTTTACCCATTTCGGTGCGTACTGCAGGCCTTTGCAGCCGAGACTGAGGATTCCGTTAAGACCAAGAGGGCGGGAATTGGGAAGCTGAAGGAGGAAAAGGCGAAGCAGGAGCTCCGAGCCCAGCCTGGGAGCACAGTGCGCTTTCCAGGAAGCCAGGAAAGCGACAAAACATGGTTTCACCGTGTTTTTTTGTTACACAACGAAAGTACTCTTACGAGTGTGCGAGAGCATCTGAAGTGTCACGAGGCAGGTTCCAGACTGCGCGAAGCAATGACTTTGATGGAAACTAATCTGTGGGTTCGTCCTCGTAGCAGTTTCGTTGCGGAGAAATTGCAGGGGCTGAGTGTTTTATAGTCTCCCACCCCACGCCCCGGTTTCTGTGCCCTTGTTCTCGATGGTTCCTGTTCTCTATTCTCCGCGATTCCTCCTTATTCTACGGATTCCGTTGGCATCCTCACCAGGCCTTTGCAATTCAAGTGGGTTTTGGTATTCTCCCCCATGCCCCCCTTCGATGTCGCTCCGCCACCTCTATTCGCTCCCCTTCTCCGCCAACCCGCATACACGACCCTTTCGGGGTAGCTCTCCAGGTGCACTTGGAATACTCTTCGTTGTCTTGCATGGTCTGTCACTGATTGGGGTCCAAACCATCGCATTGTGAAAGTCGTGCAAGTCTGGCAGATACTCTTGCAACAGCGTGCGGCCTCGCGAACAGATGACTTCCTCGCTGCCAACCGCCCTGCAAATACCGAGTCTGCAGCCATTCTCGGGGATGGTGGGGTTTAGGGGTGTTTACGGATTAGGGTTTTCGAGGGTTTATGAAGCCCAAAGCCCTGAAATACCCTAACCCTAGCCAGCCCCAAACCCCAAAGGCCCGCCCAACACCTTTCATTCAGTAGCCGTCAGCGGGACAGGCCCGAGCTGAGTGGCTCGGGACACGCCTGAGGATCCTTGCAGGTCGGCTTGGTCGCTGAAATTATCAGGTAGAAGTGTTGGGTACTTACACCTTTTAGAAGTTTTTATACCTAAGTAAATCGATCAGAACGGTCAATTTACTTACACCTCCAAGGCTGTTCCCAACTCTGCTTGCTCTGCGACAATCTTTCAAGCTCAAAGATCTGTTTTGGCGCGAGCTATTTGGTCAAGTTCAAAGAGCTGCTTTGGTGCGAGCTAATTGGTCAAGTTCCAAGAACTGTTTTGGCGCGAGCTAATTGCTCAAGTTCAACGAGCTGGTTTTGGTGCGAGCTAGTGGTTCAAGTTCAACGAGCTGTTTTGGCGCGCGCTATGTGGTCAAGTTCAAAGAGCTGTTTTGTTTGGTCAAGTTCAAAAGCTGTGTTGGTGCGAGCTGATTAGTCGAGTTCCGCCGTTTTGGCGCGAGCCATTCTGTCAAGTTCAAAGAGCTGTTTGGTCAAATTCAACAAGCCGTTTTGGCGAGCTTTTCTGGTCAAGTTCAAAAGCTGTTTTGGCGCCAGCAATTCTGTCAAGTTCAAAGAGCTGTTTTGGCGCCAGCTGTTGGGTCAAATTCAACAAGCCGTTTTGGTGCGCTGTTCTGGTCAAGTTCAAAGAGCTATTTTGGCGCGAGCCTTTAGGTCAAGAACAAGAAAAGTGGTGCGAGCTACTAGTCGAGTTCAAAACGCCTTTTTGGCGCGAGCTACTTAGCCACGGTCAAAGAGCTGTTTTAGCTATTTGGTCAAGTCCGAAGAGCTGCTTTGGCGCGAGCTGCAGGGTAACCCACCCTCTTTGAGGGGACGGGTTATGCCGCTCCGATCATGTTACGAGCACAGGCTTTTGGGTGTCTTGAGCTAGCTATTCACTCTTCGAAAATGTTACAAGATCAAAGACCTGTTTTGGCGCGAGCTCTTTGGGCAAGTTGAAGTCAAGTTCAAAGAGCAGTTTTGGCGCGAGCGTGTCTAGTCAACTTCAAAAAAAGTGTGTTTGCGCGAGCTATTTGGACAAGTTCAAAGAGCTGTTTTGGCGCCAGCTATTTGGGCAAGTTAAAAGAGCTGTGCGGGCGCGAGCTTTTTGGTCAAGTTTACAGAGCTGTTTCGGCGCGACGAGCTATTCGGTCAAGTCCAACGAGCTGTTTTGGCGCGAGCTATTTGGTCGAGTTCAACACGCCGTTTGGCGTGAGCTCTTTGCTCAGTACCTTAGTGGGCGAGCCTTTTTGGTCGCAGGGGAAACATCTCGGCGCGAGCGCCAGCGACCAACGATTTGTTGCCATCAGGTTTTGTTTTTTCCACTCAAAAGCACCGAATAGTTTGCAATCCACATAGTACTCTTCAAGCCGGCCGGTGTCAACAAGGTGTATGTCCCCTGACACCGTTTTCTTTCCCGAAATAGAAGATAGTACCCAAAGGGTGTGGAAGTGGGCTCCCACCCTCCCGCACGCAACTCCCGCGAAGACACGTGGCGTCGCGGCAAGTGAAGACACTTCCCGCAGACAGTTCCCGCAAAGACACGTGGCCTTGCGAAGACAGGCGGGCAAGCGACGACACTTCCCGCAGGCAGCTCCTGCGAAGACACGTGGAGTCGCGCAGACACTTCCCGCAGACAGCTCTAGCAAAGACACGCCACGGGGGACCAAACCATGAACGCATGCCTGTATTGGCACCAGGAGCTTCGGGACTCCGATCCTCTATCCTGTTTCGGAGCCACATTCGTCCTAACATTCAAACCTGAACATCTACAACCCCAAAGAAGACTTACACCAATAGGGTCAAACACGTCCTCTTTGATGGGACGGGTTATGGAGCCACGATTACGTTACCAGCACATATCGATCAGAACGGTCAATTTACTTACACCTCTCTATAGATGTTTTCGTACCTACGTAAATCGATCAGAACGGCCAATTCGCTTACACCTCCAAGGCTTTGCCCAACTCTGCTTGCTCTTTGACAATGTTTCAAGCTCAAAAAGCTGTTTTGGCGCGAGCTATTCTGTCAAGTTCAAAGAGCTGCTTTGGCGCGAGCTGTTTTGGCGCCAGCTATTTGGGCAAGTTAAAAGAGCTGTTCTGGCGCGAGCTATTTGGTCAAGTTTACAGAGCTGTTTCGGCGCGACGAGCTATTCGGTCAAGTCCAACGAGCTGTTTTGGCGCGAGCTATTTGGTCGAGTTCAACACGCCGTTTGGCGTGAGCTCTTTGATCAGTACCTTAGGGGGCGAGCCTTTTTGGTCGCAGGGGAAACATCTCGGCGCGAGCGCCAGCGACCAACGATTTGTTGCCATCAGGTTTTGTTTTTTCCACTCAAAAGCACCGAATAGTTTGCAATCCACATAGTACTCTTCAAGCCGGCCGGTGTCAACAAGGTGTATGTCCCCTGACACCGTTTTCTTCCCCGAAATAGAAGATAGTACCCAAAGGGTGTGGAAGTGGGCTCCCATGGTTTTCTGGGCTGCTCAGCATGTCGGCAACTAGATGCAAGTCAGGAGCGACCCTGCGTGTGAGCACGGTTGCCCAGCGCGTGCGCGTTGCAAGAGGAAGTGCAGCTGGCGGAGACTTCGGACGCGAAGAGTTGCTTGGGTCTCGGCTTGTTGAGCTGATCTTGCCCATCTTCGCCCATTTGCTATGGAGGGGAATTTGTGACATGCCCCTAAGTGACCGCGGCGGAGATTGCACAGCTGCTGGCATCAAAGGAGCAGCTTCACGAAAGCACCCTGGCACAGCAATGCGGACTGTTCATGATCTGCGATGGCCGAGTTGCATGTGCAAATCGCACAGGCTGCGACTTCCTCCTTGGCCAATTCGAGCTGCGCCAGAAGGCTTGTTTTCTAATGCGCGAAGAAGTTTTCATCACATGTGTGGGGAGATTGTTTTGTTGCTTTCTTAGCTTTTGCTGTTCTTACGCCAAAGCAGCAGCTCCTTGCAAGCAGCTCTTTTGCTTTGCAGAGGCGCGGTCGGAGGAGCTCCAAGCTTTGGAGCGTGCCAAAGACGTCCTGTCTGGCGCCCTCGTTGAGAAGTGATCCGGGCATCAACGTGATTGTCTCACGAAGTTTCTTTAGGAACAAAGGGCAGAGAGTGGGGTGTGATCAACGCAACACACACTTGCTGGACCTGCAATCCGCACTTTGAATTGCATTGCGACAGCTTGGTTTAAGACTCTTCAAGCCTGCGGTACAAGAAGCACGTTGCCCGAAAGCTTAATCTAGACTTGCGGCACTGTATGCGCTGTGCAAGACTTGACACATTGCTCGTAACAAAGGACGCACGCAGAGTTCTCACATTTCAAGATGCGGGATGGCGGCAAAACATGTTACCGACTTCAACAAGGACCTGGCAGACCTCGTCGAGGCCGCAGACACAGGCACATAGACGTACATGCAGCGGAGCTAAATTCCTCACCTACCAGGAACGAGCCGCCATGATCAAGAACTATGTTGACGAGGATAGCTTAGTTTGCCTGTTGGTGTCAGTGTTGTCGACCGATGATGGAGTCAGCCGCTGGGCACAGCAGGGGGTGCTCACCAGTTCATTGGATCTTAGCGGAGTCGCACCAATTTGCATCTCCCGTTCGCAATCATCTGAAACACCATGCGTCTCACCAGTTTGTAATGGCACGGCTCCACGTGATGCCTGTCATTTCGACATCCGCTTCCTCTCATTTGTTTAACTTCGTTCCGCCTGGCCCTCAGGGTGACATCGGCTCAGAGCAGGGAGGTTCCCAGACTAGCCGCCATGTCTGGTTGGAATGCTTGGACTATCCACCCTCGGGTCTGTACTTCCCTCCATTTGAAATACACAAAGGATGGCAGTACAGAGGTCCGCTGCCATAAAGCAACATTCCTTACGAGTGGTAGGTTTAAGTCGACCCTGCCGGGGTGAAGTCGTGCCAAGCCCATGTGCCGCAGTGTTTGGGCTTACTTTCCCATATCCCCAACATATCTTATATTTCATCAGACCCAGAGTTTTGCGGTCTTGTAGTACTGTGCACATGGTTTTGGAACATTTCCGGATCGTTGTTTGTGCTGTAACCCCGAAGCCCAGAACCCTAACACAGAGGCCTCTCAACAACCTCGCAATGGGCTCTCAGAGACGCAGGGGCCTCCCAGGGCCTCCCAGGCCCAAGAGTGTCCCGAGGCCTCCAGGCCCAGGTATTGTTCTTTATACCAAAAGGCCAGTGCCTTGCCTCACCTCGCGCAGGCCTCGCGCAAGGTCGCGCGACCCTCGCGCAGGGCCGCAAATATGCCCCTCCCCAAAACAACGGATTTTCCTTCACACTGCATGCGAAGTTGCTCAGCAGGGGCGAATGGGGGGAAGTCCCTCGGACCAAAGTTTCTCAGCAGGGGCGAGAATCATGCAGCAATGGCCGTAAAACCATCCGAAAAACCATGTGCCCCTGCAGTTTCGCAATTCAAAACCGCTTACAAATGCTGTAATCAGGCTTCTCAACCCACTGTGCACAGCTCCGGTGCCATTTTTGGCGCGAAAGCTCTCAAAAGCCATGTGCCCCTGGGGTTTCGCTGTTGCTGGGCCGACTTTACACCGCCTGGGGTGACTTCCTTCCTCTGCCTTCTTTTGCTGTGTGCCGCAGGGGTTGGGCCGACTTTACACCGGGTGGGTCGAGATAAACCCGGCGCTTGTAGCTCCTCTTCGACTTGCCACGTGGCTCGCGCGCGACGTGCTCGACACTGCTCGGCTACCTGGCGAGTAACCCGGCCCCATGTCTGTCACTCCCAACCGTCCCAACCCAAACTGGACACTGTTTGGGAGCTGAAGTTGTCTTACGTGGCGCTTCCGTCCAATGTTCCTGCATCAATGGCGTTGGAGAGTCCACTGCAGGTTTCTGGCAGATTTTTTGCAGCCATCTAACTTTGTTCACTTTCGTGTGTTAACACCCGAAGGACAAAGCCGCTCCCAGGGATGAGCTTGCCAAGTACATATGGAGTGCGCACGAGTCGGCAAGAGGCTTGAATTGCCGGCAGATTCTGGCCATCTGAAGGTACGGCAAAGAAGATCTACAGAGTGATTCAGCCCACCAAGACGCCGTCGAAGCGCAAAACTGCTTGGCAGCATGCTATGGGCATGCTCAAGGAGCCCTGGAAGCGCTTTCGTGCTTTCCACGTGTTTAGCTGGCTTAGCTTAAAAGGGGCCAAAAATTATGAGCCGGAGGAGATCATCGACTTCGACAAGTCAAGAACTTGGCGCGAGGGTCTGAGCTGAGCTGCGGGCGGCGCGACAGGCTTAATGTGCCAAGGTTCCTTCCAGAAAAATTCCATGCCCCGTCGAGCTGACTGCATTGGCTCTTTATGGCTTGATCTGGGGCATAGCCTTGTCGTTTTGATTCCGCTGCCTCTGGTCAGCCTCTCACGTGGCAGGGGTGTGAGATATGTGCTGGAACCGAAAGTCTTGGAGGCAGGAAGATGCTCTTTGTTTCATTGTAGCACTGCTGGAGTAGCTTCTACGTCGCTGTGTCGAAGCAGCGAATCGCTTTCTGCGTCGCACACATTGTTGAGCGAAACTGCATCTATTTCACATTCCACTGCGTTTCAGTGGGCTCACTCTCTGAGCGGGCTTTTTTATGGCATCTGTCCTGCCCAAGGTATCTGCACTTTTCCCGCTTTAGAAAATCAGCATTGGCAAACAAAGCACATGCTCGGGCAACAGCAGCAAAGAATGCCGTGGGCATGGTTTGTCGGGAAGAAAAATCATCAAAGCTGGCAGCCTTTCATTTTGGCAACCACGTCATTTCAATATTCCGCGGAGTCTCAGAGGAGGCTTGCAGAAGGCTTGCAGAAAGTCACGAAAGCGAGTTCTCCAGCGGTAGGTGCTCTGCCTTACTTTCTTTCTCCTTCTCCTTTAATTGTCCGCCTGAAGATTTCGGGCGGGGCCGAGCCTTTCAGATCCATGGATAAATCTCCAAATCAAAGTGGTCAAAGCACTTCGTTTCAGCGCATGGGCAAACAATTGAACAGCGCATCGGTCTCAGCTTCAGCCCGCTCCACCACCCCTAGCTGCCCTGGCATGTGTAGCTAATCGAAGGCCACAATGGGAGGTGCCCAGCACAAGCTAGCCTCAAGCATACGCATATGGCATACGTAGCACGCATAGGCTGCAGGCCACATTTTCTGGTGCCGTTGCTGCTCCTTCCCACATTCTCGATGGACCGAAGGTCTTGCAGAACTACCACTACTTCATTCTCACGGGGCAAGTGCGCACTCGGCACCCCCCTCCGAAGCTGTTGGGTGAGACGGACACTGCATAAGCTGGGGCCAGTAGCTCTCTACGCTTTCTCTGTGGCGCATTTGGCTGCGCTCATCTTTTGGTTGTGGTGATGATGCCGCCGCTGTTGCTTCTGCTTTGCGCGTTGCAGGACGAGCTCTTGTGCGTTGACAAACCCGTGAATTTCACTTGCGGCTATGGTGCGAATTGGTCGAACTCTTTGCCCAAAGTAGTCGCGCGCTGAGGATGTCATTAATGAGGAGTTTGAACGTGTTTGGACCGGCATTGCCGAGGTTGGTGCAAAAACGGCCACGCAGCTGCTGAACTCTAAGCAGGCCGGCAACTTTTCTCTACTCTACATTTGCTCCAGTGATCTTGCCAGCTCTTAATTAAATTCCATCTCCAGAGAAGTCTTTCGGATGTTGCAGAAGAAGAGAGCTCCGCGGCTGTAGGATGTGCGGGAAGTGTCAAGCTTGAAAACATCAGAACAGCAAGGATCACGAAATGCCGGGCTTGTAGTGCTTACGGGTCAGCGCGAAGTCGCACTAAGGTCTCGCAAATCAGAGATCACGCACAGCAGGAATCTGAAACCAACGGACAATTCATGCAGAAATGGGAGCATCCGCTACTAAGCCTTCTGCAAGTAGTTTGCATTGTGCTTATTCAAATAGGGTTACACATAACTTTTCTTCAGGAAGAGCGAATCCAGGTTCAACCAGAAGCCACAAAAAGATGGTTGCCGTAAAGCTCGAGGAAGATGTTGGGGAGATGCTGGTCAGGCGTAGCCTCGGCCCCAAAAGGGAGATGCTGGGCAGCTCCTAACCCCTAAAAAGGATGTTGGTTGAAACTTTTGAAACCACCGGACAGTTTTCCGATGCTGTGTGCTTTTGTGAGCAGCTAAACTGGGAGGCAGCTTGAAGCACCACACGCGCCAGACAATGCTCTAAAGACGGATCAAGAAGGCGAAATAGGAATCTAGCCAACAGCGCTTTGCTTCTTGTGACTCCTCTTGTCAGACATTGTGGCTGAGAGAGCTTACGTGGATTTCTAGGAAGCTCAAGAGGACGGTAGTACTCTGACACAGCGATGGAATCCAAGCACAGCCAAAGTTGCATCCGCATGCGGATCCATCGAATACAACGAAAAGGGTTTCCTGTTGGCATGCAGAGCCAGTTGGTTGTTTTTGACTGCGCAGCATCAAGGAGTTTGAGGCTCTGTTTGAGGTTGTTCGATCAAAAGGCTTGTCCTACTTGTATTGTAGACAACGAAGGGAAATGGAGGTGCAAAGTCTGCTGAAGAAGTCTATACTGTGCAGCGTATTGATATGAGGCTACTTGTCAACACGAGGTTTCCTGTGGAGCCCATACTCAAGCAGAGGATGTCGTTGAAAGCTGGAAGACATGAAGTTTGTTCTTACTCAGGTCGGGGGGGGGGGAGGGAAATTGAGGCTTTCCCATTATGGCTCAGAGGAAGCTTCAAGAACATTGATATCAGCCATTATCAGCTACAGTAAATGTGCCCAAAGCATTCTTATCAACGTGCCGACGGATATGGCTTTCCCATGGAGACATTGGGGGAAATGGAGGTGCCCGATGAAGTTCTAGTGGACAAGAAGAGCTTCCATTTTGCTCAGTCCCAGTGTGCCATCGGTACTGTCCAGAGAGCACCAGAAGGTTGAGTTTTAGGGCGTCGTCAGGTGCACCGAAGAGAGAACCAAAGAAGAGAAAGCATGGAAGATTCAGAGAAGAGTATTGACAGTTGTCTTTTGTGATCTTTTGTGTCAGTCAGGACACGCTCCAAATCCATGAGTACTTGGCGCTGAAATTCGATTACGAGACAGCGGTTGGAACTCGAAGCTTTTGGGCAGAGGCTGTTTGAAAGCAGCTTCGCATGTGCGCCGGCAGTGTCCCTGTGCAGTTGTGTCGTGCTCGCGGAGGTGGAGGAGCAACATCTAAAAGTCCAACCATGCAGTTGCGGGAAGTGCGAGATCTGCGCCAATGCTGCACCATGGGCTATCATAGATGCAACCTCAATTTCGCGCGTGTGCTGCAAATGTGCTGGGCAGCTGGTGCATGGACAGCGAAAAGATTGAGGGGCTGCACTGCACTGGCTTGCACAGCAAGATGCAATCGCCACTCTTTCGGTTTGTGGTTCTGACATGTCACGACTTGCAGACATGCAGGTGATGCCTTGTCCCCTAAACCTTTTGCGGGCTTTGAGTTCGGGGTAGAGGTGACGTTCAGCTGTGGCTCAAATTTTATGGTCGTTTTATCCGCTTCTTCCCACTGAAGACTTGCATGGTTTCTGGCTTGGTTTGTGCCCTTTGCAACGCCCTTTCCAGACTGGGCCTTCGCCCCTTGCATGGGGCAATCCACAAGACAGTGAAGTGAAAAGGTTTTACCAACACATTTTGGTCACGCCCCGAGTGGCGAGAAGTTGGGAACCCCTTCGCAAGGCTTCATCAACACTTCTTGGCCCAGCCCAGGTGCCTGCATGCAAGCAGGCTGCTGCAACAGGCTGGACAAGGAGCAGTTGGCGCAGTTCAGGGAACAGGGAGGAACAGGGAGGAAGAGGGAGGAAGAGGAAGGAAGAGGGAGGAAGAGGGAGGAAGAGGGAAGTCTGAGAACCTCCAGACTGGAAGGAGACCTCGGGCATCATGGTGGCAGCCAAGACCAAGCAGGGCTTCCGCGAAATTCGGAAGCTCCTCCGCGTGCATTGGGACACAGACTTCTACACAGAGTTCTACAGTTGCTTTCAGTTTCTTGAGCTGCAGCTGTACCCTTAAGGCAGTTTGAAAGCGATCACAGCCTCGAGGAAGGAGGAACCGAAAAGTACTACTTTGCGCTGGTACATGGGCGGGTGCCGCCCGTTCTGGTCGCATGAAAACCCGAGGACTAGGTTTGATGCTGTGCGGGTGCCAGGTCCAAATTCCTGTGAGGCCGGCTGTGCAAAGTGAGGCACTGGCCCTGGCGTCATTTCGCGCCATTTTCGTCTTCACAGCTCAACGGCTCAACCCATCAGAACGAGCTATTGAATGACACAGGATTGGAAACACGAGCCTCATGAGAGCTGGGAGCATGGTCGCCAGGCTCTCAGCATGCTAAGGCCCGTTGACATATCTGCGTCAAAGAGGGGCGTGTTCCTGGTGCCTCCCACATTCTTAGGGTCACAGGGAGCATCAGAGCCTCCTGTGGACCCAGTTCCAAGGACGTGGGCGGATTGAGATTGCAATGTGCTTTGACCAGGTCTCGTTCACGATGTTTTCTCAAGCGTTCGGCTGTTGTATCGGCTGTTGTATGCTTGCAGTGCTCCTGACAGTCGCGATGGCGAGCCACACCCTGGAATGATGGAAAGCCGAAGGGTGGCAAGGGGAAGGAATCTCGACGCAAAGGCCAAGGAGGAAAAGGCGACTCGGGCGAAGCCGTTGTTCGACCTTGTTAGGTATCCATTTACTTTTATTTGTGTGTGTGTGTGTGTGTGTGTGTGTGTTTGTTTTTGTTTGTGCGTGCGTGCACGTGTGAGGAGGAGATCGCGATGAGGGTTGCGAGCCAGGCGAGAGATGTGTGTGAAGCCTCCAAAGCCAGCCAGGGGATACTCAAAGTTTCTCAACTTGTTCATCTTCATGTTGTTGTGGTTCTTGCTCCGAAAAGGTTAACGCCTGTCTCCCAAGCGTTTTGGGGTAGGCCAGCAATTCCAAGCTGAGGGAAGCTTCGTTCGCGTTGAAGTTCTTGAGACTCTTTGCATAGGCATTGCATAGCGCAAGACCAAAGGCCACGAAGCCTCAGCAGGAAGAGCGGCTCAGATTTTGGATGTTTCTCACTTGTTTTTTGATGTGGCCCCTGGCGGCGCCGGGTTTCCCAATCTGGGGTTGCAGGTGAACCGACGTCCTTCATGAATCCAGTAGCGGTAGTGACCTGCAGTTCACAGGGTGGGTGAGAAGAAACTTAAAGCTGTGAAAGACAGAGGGTCTTTGCAACCTTGGTGTTTTCTCATCAAAGTAGCGGAGTGGCTGAAAAATTTGGTTTCTTCACCACTTCGTTGCTTTCGCCATTGAATGTCCAGTGCCAGACTGCCAGTCAGGAACCACGCAAGGCAGGCTCTATGCGGTCACCTTCTACGAGCCAATCGCTTGGTTTACCAACAAGCAGGAGCCGCAGGATCCCCAGAAGCTGCCACAAAAAAAGCTTTTCGCGGTTGTGCGCGGATATGGCCTGGAGCCTAGATTCGGTCATCTTCGCCTGCAGGTTTACGCTTCTACATTTACAGCTTGTGACTGGCCCTGTTCTCAGCGACTCCCAAGAGATGTTGATGTCGGGACCTGGGCTTCGGACGGCGTGGTGCAAAATTATGTCAAGTACAGTTGGGTTGGTTGTTTAGGGCTTTGTAAAGAAGGTTGGTCATCGTTCTCACAAGCTGACTTTTCATGCTTTCATGGGTGCTGGGTCCAATGGACCGGTTTTTAAAGGGTCTTAAGGGTGTATGATCGGTATGTGTCGTGGACTGAGGGGTGAGCCGCAACTGAGCTAGGGCGAAACAGCCCAAACTCCCAGCAGGTTGTAACTGCAGTTTCGGAGGTCGCAGGAGCGGGGTGAGAGAGAGAGAGAGAGAGAGAGAGAGAGAGAGAGAGAGAGCGAGGGAGAGGGTCCCGGGTGCAGGTTGACTGGGGTCTTGTGTGTTGCAAGGCGGAAGTTTCGGTCCAGCCGTTACATTTGCAAGCCGCCACCCCGCAGCGTCATCTCACCCAGGTAGTTTAAAGCAGTGCACAGGGGCAATTCAAGGGCGGCCACTCTTCAGTCCCGCCAAATAGGCTGACCAAGGGGAAAGCCAACAGGGTCCCTTGCTTGCACGTTCTTCCCCTGGTCTCCACCACACCCCCTGCAATCGTCAGAGGACGCTTTGTTTCCGCACGGGGGGGAGGGGGGCGTTTCTCACTCAAACAGACCGACGTCTTGGGGCGGACCCTCTCGGGGGAGCGTGTGGAGAGAGAGAGAGAGAGAGCGAGCGAGCGCGAGAGAGAGAGAGAGAGAGACTGCAAGAAACACCCGCATGGTGATGTGGGGAAGAGGAACAACAAGGACAACGCCTGCCACGCAATCACTTGTTTCAAGAAGATGATCTCTGTGTTAGCAACGACTCACACTGCACATTTGGTTCTTTTTGTCATTGCGGACGTGCCTTGACCAGTACTTTTGTTGTAAGCCACTTGATGTTTGAGGACCTTGTTGTCTCGCTGGCAGCTGTGAATGATATTGAATGATCTGACGGGTCATGCAAGCTTTTGGTCCAGGCCGAACACACCAGATCAGGCCTGCTCGGTGGCAACATGGCGACTCGGTGAGATTGACCTCTCGTGACAGGTTTCATTGCAGCCAGATCGGCTTTCCCGTCGTAGGAGACTGCGCATATGAAGCTCCGCCTGAAACTCGGCAAGCACCGCTACTGGAAAGCAGTGGTCGAGGCTCCACCTCATTCCATTTGCCGAGCATGAGGCAGAGGGACAGAGATTGGGCGAAACGAGTATTCCTACACTCGTACCAGGCTCGGCTACTTGCAAAGTGCCGTAACCTGCACTCCACTGTCTGCCCGTTGATACCTTGCTGACAGACCAGATTTCGGGAACCCTTCACCCATCGATGGTTTGAGGCTGTGAGCTGCTGTGAATTCAAAGGCTGGACAAGAAGCCTGAGCAGTATCAGCAGCACTTCTCATTGCAGGCAACATCTCCGCTGCCACAAGACCTTGGCCAACTGCTGTGCGACTTGCAGCTGGAGCGCGCCAAGGTCCCTCCATTTCATGATCCTCACCTTTCGGCGGAAGGGTCTGTTCAGGGTTTGAAGTGGGAGTTGAAAAGACCAGACACGCCTGCACCAGGCAGGGGGGCCTCTGTTCCTTTCAAGAAGGCGTGGGCACCTGTGGTCACTTGTGGACACCTGTGGACACCTGTTTTGGGTTTTGCTAGACATCTTGAGATTGTAACCGGTGTGCCTTGCAGGCAGCACACTGCCTTGAAGACAATCTTCAAGCTTGGAGCTTTCATCTGCCCAGCAATCTTTCACCATGTCGAAACTCGAAACGTCTTGTGTGCGAGTGTGTCTCTGTGTGTGCCATCGCAAATTCACAGTCATGAGGCAGTATGATGCCTCGACAATGCTTCTGCATTCTCGAGATGCTCCGGCTAACGCTGAAAAGATCCTGGCAGAAGCGGCAGAAGCGCAGGCCTGGCCATGTACCGTGCCAGGCAGTGTGATTTCAGTCTCAAGTGCCCTGCAGTGCTATGGCGGTTCCCTGAGCGTCGAAGCGTCAGGACCACGGCAGCAGCAACGGAGGGCATGGGGGCTGTGGTGGCAATGGCCTTGGAGCGCGCAACCAAGACAAGCAGGAGGAGCAAGCCGAGAGTTGGGGGAACTCCCGGTCCTCTTGGTCCTCTTGGTCCTCTTGGTCCTCCTGGGGGGCGAAGTCGGCGAAGCCTTGGAGTGACGACAGAATGCCTTCTGCCAGTAGTGCCCCGGTCCCAAACAATCAAGACGCGGCAGAGGACAGCGATGAGGACTGGGGCAAATGGAGAGCGCCGCAGGAACCAAAGGTGAAGGTTGAGCAAGTACATACCGAGCCTGCCGCAAAGAGGCAGGAATTAGAGATTTGAGCTTTTCACATAGGCCTGCGTCTTGCATGGGCGTGCCGTGCTGAATTTGCTTTTTGCTCTGATCAGGCAGCGGCTGGCAAGTTCCTCTGGTGAGGCTGCTCAAGCGGCTGCTCCCACGGCCGCGGCTGCTCCCGCGGCTGCTCCCGCGGCTGCTCCCGCGGCTGCTCCCGGTGGACACGTAGCCCCAGGCCATGGCGGAAACGACCAGAATCGCCAAGGATCCTTGGTGCAAAGAGCCCCTGCAGGACCCAAGGCGCAAGGGATCTCCTGAGCAAGTCATGTGTTAGGGAATCGTAGCAATAGGTCGCTGTATATCCCATGCATCGAAAGCACCCTCGCAGGACTTCGCATGATCCAAGGAACAAGGTTCTCAGAGCCATGTGTAAGTTGCAAACAGCAGCCAGCGCGGGCCATCCAAGCTTCGCGTCATCTTTTTTTTGATTGTTTGGCCCAACAAAAAGCAGATCCCAAATGTTGCTGCCTCCTGTCGCAACGATCTAGCTCCAACTTTGCATGTGGCTGTGTTGAAGAGAAGCGGCGTGGCAAGGTCTTATTGAATTCAATGGTTTACGTATGTTTGAGTGTCGAAAGCGAACTAGCCCAAGAGCAGAAAAGAAATAGACCAATTGGACGCCAACCCAGTTGCCTCCAACATGCAAAGCGGCAAAGCAGGCCTGGAAAAGTGCATCCTAGTCCGCCTGAACCTGGAAGCCTCCTGTGCAGGCATTCGCCGAAAACGCACCACGGGCGCCCTAGCAAGAAACCTTCGCTAAAAGCAATGTTTGTCATAGATGTGGGCATTCTCAAGAAACGCAAAGGAGAAACGTGCAGCAGTCGCTTTGTGTTGGGCCCTCCGCTGAATATTTTGTTTCCGGGCCCTCAGCTCCGGAGGCTCCACTCGAAACCTCCGTGAAAGTGCCAGAACCCAGCAACTTTTCTAAACTCCCAAGACATCCTGCGAAGGACCCGTGCTGAAGCGGGGAAACGGAGCTTCCCTGGTCCAACGAAGGCATCCAGGGAACCCGAGCCAGAACATTCTTATCGACCCTGAGGGGGCCCGTCCGGAAAGGCTTTGCAACCCATGTGAACCTCCACTTCCAAAACACCTGGGCCACAGTGGCCGCAGTGAACAAGCCGTGGGAGCCAGAAAGGTCTTCAGGTGCTGCACGCTTCGCACCTGCTTCGGGTTGAATTTCTTCGCTGCCGCCTTGAAGTTGGCTTCACCTTTGTTGCTGTGCTGTTTGTGCTTCTTTGCAAGTTTTGCCTGGCCTCGTTGTGCATCTTCATCCTCCACAAGCCAGAAAAGTCGTGTTTTACAATCACTATAATCTCCAGCATGTCCCGAATTCTCACTACCTGGTGTCAGGTGTGGCAGAGGATGGAATCCTCCCGACAGGCATACAGCGACCAGCGATACTTTGCATGGAATATATCTAAGCGCGTGACCTCCTCTGCTTTGACCGACAGGCTGGCGTCTTTTACTACTGGAACAAAGTCACGAATCAGACGCAGGCAGTTCCTGAAATCCTGAAATGCCCATCTTGCCGGGGCTCTCGGGCAAGCGAGGTTGAGCCTCCGGAGCCATGGCAAAAGCTCCAATCGAGACGAGATGCCTCGATTTACTACTACTGGACAGGGTTTCCATTCGCTGCACGCGTCAATGCTGCACAGGAATCTTCGTAGCGTGACACGGAGCCCGGTGCCGCAGGAATCCCTCCACGGGGCAGTCCTCACTGGTGAAGCCGGAGGTTTGAGCCTTTGCAGTGAGATCCGCCAAAAGCTAGGGGAAGAAAGCACCTTTCAAGTTGTGGTGTTGTGGTTTTTTATTTGAAGAGTTTGTTCTGTTGCAGGCTTAAACACATCGGTCAGCGTTTCGCTGTTTTCTCAGAATTTCTGTCTCAGGCTGCCTCAGGCTAATGTGTGCCGTGCGCATGATACAGTCGGCCTGTCTGAGACAGACTTTCCGCTCTCTGCGGTGTGGAAGAACCCTTGAGCCTCATCCTTCCGTCCATGAGGTACCAGCGCTTGTGGCATCTTAGTCTACACAGCACAGCCTCTGTCTGACTGCAGTCGCATCTTTGCTCAAGTCAACTCGATGGGGAACATAGCTGGGGCCCCTGTTTATACCGCCAAGGCCAGAACTATCCTTCCTTGTCTCAGCTGTAGTCCGGTGGCCGCCGATGCTAGGCAGATGCCAGATGACTCTGGACCATGCGAACCTGCCCTGAAGCACATGGACTGGAAAAGGCTGGCCCTCTGATTCTGCGAGCCAGGAGGGAATGGTGTAGCTTTTGCACTGATGTTGCTGCCAGGGCTATGGGAAATCATCAGCGAGAGGAGCAGCTCCGGGCATTTCTTGCCGAATATCCTGCCGACCTGCGACGGAAAGTCCAAGAACTGGAGCAGGCCACCGCATACTGCTTAGCGAGGTTATGCGAGGTTCCCGCTGCTTCGCAGGCTGTTACCTTCTTGGCTCATTGCATGTGGCAGTGCCAGATGTTCCCAGTATGCGGATGCGGCAATAGTTCAGCGCCCGATGTGCTTCGACTGCTCGACCTCTTGGAACAGAAAGCACAGGAAGGTGAGTGACTAGACGGGTGGTGCGGTTGCGGCCAGAGACATGTGAGTGCAGTGTTGAGCTCATTGCCCCCTAGTGCTACCCTCACCTGCCATACCTGTTCCTTGGTCCAGTAAATCTCTCGACAGAGGTGCCTGACCTGTCATGAGCAACAGTACTGGAGAAAAGCACAGGCCCCACGACGAGTAAGTCACAAGAAGCCACAAGAAGCCACAGTTGTAATGTTCTTACTGTTCTTCACGACGATCGACCTCACACCCGCCAATCTTGACGCTAAATCAGACGGATGATGATGCTCGGATCTGCGAATGGAGGGTGCGCTCTGCTAGCCAGGCCTTTCAAGAAGGATCATCTGTGCAGGACTCCATGGGACCTGAGTGGACATGGAGGCGTCCATCAAACTTTTCATGACCTTCATCCAGCACATGATTCAGCCCATGAAGCTCACAGCCCGATCGTGGCGCTCTCTCCAAGCGGAAGTGTGTCAAGTCAACACCTGCGCAGAAGTCGGTGCACTGCGTCTGCCGCGCTGTGCATGCACATGAATAGCTGGACCCGTAAGCAACTCCATGTGGTGTTTGCGTATGACCACAGCGGCAGGCCCTTCTTAACAAGGACTTCAACCGACTCCAAGAAGCTGCACAGCAGGCCAGAGTCAGATGAGTCAGATGCCCTTTGTGGCATTTCGCTCTTCCGGAGGTCATGGGATCATCATCATTCGTCGCGGCAACGCACCTGCATGACTTGGCCATGGAGTTAGAAGAGGCTTTGGACTCAGAACTCGCAGAACTCGCAAACGCCTGCAAGATCGCTTGCAGGCACTGTCGATTGTCGATGCCGCTCGGCCCCGCGCCTTTGTACCTGCAGGCGATCGACCTTGAGACAGGCTCCATTCCCACCAAGACCGAGCAGGTGGTGCAGGAGGTGCTGTGTGGAGAATGGCCCAAGAATCATGAGAGCGCTTTTTTGAGCATTTCAATGGGGTGCAAAAAAGACACTGCAAAATGTGGCGCAAAATGCGGTGGGTTCCCGCGCTGCACAGGCGAAAGAGCTTGAGAAGGAGCTGGTGGAGGCTGGATTTGTCCACCAGGACACTCCCGACGTTTGCTTCCACCTTACGATGCGACGAATGAATTCAGGCTGTGGCAAGACTGCCTCAAGGGCCCCTTCTGATTGCAGTATAGTACCAATGTCCCGGCAAGGGGCACATGTGTTCACAGCATCCGTGCATGCGCCCGTGCTCGAACCAAACCGCGGCTCTCCACACCACCGGCTGGTCCTCACGCGGAACTTGAGTAGCTTCGGCTCACGTCGGGTCTTCTTGCCATCCTCGGCCCGACATGGTCGAGGTTCCAGCCCAACAGGGTTGAGCCCAACAGGGTTGGCCTCCTTCCCTTTCCATCGCGCCGTCCGCTTCATAAGGATGCTCTTGGTTTGAGAATACGCTGAATACTTGCCACATTGCCCATCTCGGATGCTTCGCGCATCTTGCGATGACGATTCAGAAGAGGGGGGTGGGGGCCGCATGGGCAGTTACATCTGCGGGCTCACTCGCTCATTCACTCACTCACTCGCTCACTCACTCGGTGAACTCAAGCCTGAGGTTGCTAAGGAGGGTTGGAATGCACCCTGCTGCGCACGACACGTGCAGAGATGCAGGCATGCGTTGATTGCTGCTGCTTTTGCTTCTGCTCCTGCGGCGCGAAAGGGGTCTGTTCATGCGTGTGCACCCCGCCACCTTGTTGCAGTTGCATGCGACATCGGGCCTTGTCATCTATGTTGTGAAAGCAAGTGCAACTCAGCGCAACCAAGTGCAGCTCAGTGCAGCTAGCCGGCCAGTCAATATGTTGCTCTTGAGAGATCGGCCTTCCAAAGGGCACGTGCTCCCCCCGCAGGATGAGCCGTCCACTCCACAGACCAAAGGGAAGCAGGCACGTGAGTCACGTCGTTGCAAGTTGTTTGATTCAGCTTCGGCGCAACTTATGAAAGGCTTGCTGCGTTCTTTCATAGCGAAGCTCAGCTCGCAGCCTCTGCTCCTTGGCCTGTTGCAGCCTAGTGGCCTAGTGCAGCACTATGTTTTCACATGGAGCTGGGGATGCGAAAAGGCCATGCTTGCGCTTGCTTGATGATTACTGTTTTGCAAGGCTGGCAGCGAAGCCGGCAAGATAGACTCAGACCTTCCAAAACTGGAAGCGTATGGGGGTTTCACTGCGTTGTCGTATAGATCACTGCCAAAAAGTTGTGCCGCTTTTCTCCTTTTGCGACAACGGTAACCACCCGTGTCAACCGTGTCAGCTCAAGCCCGCAACATGCCCTTGGGCTTCGCCCCCGTCTTGCTCATTGCTCATGAAATGGAATATGTGCAGCTTCAAGTCTTTGTGAGTCTTTATGCAAGGCAGTAACCACCAGTGCCTCGGGTGCTGTAGGTAGTTCAGAAGCCGGCTTCGATTGGGGGGGGGGGTAATGTTGTCTCCCCCCCCCCGTTGTCGCCCTCCCTTGTTTGCAGCGAGTGAGCTAACTTGTGCCTTGAGCTGTTTGGACATCAATCTGGCAGCCGACTCTGTTACAGGGCTACCATCCAGGAATGTAGTCGTTCAAATCTTTTTCAGTCGTGTCTGCAGCTGGTGCAGGGCATGCGACTCTTTAGGCTGCCGTCAGCCTCCACACTGTTGTTAACTCCTGTGGAAGCTGACGCTTTGCATGGTCCTTGCTGGGCGTAATGCCAGCCATAGCTGTTGTGCCTGTCTTCTGGAACCTCTACACTGCCATGGGTGTTTATGCTCGTGCAGGACAGGGACAAGTGGTACTCGACAGTTGCGAAGTTCCCTGTTGCGCTCTGGGCTCGCGTGGATGCTGCGATCGGAGGTGCAGCACGTGCAACATCTGCTGGCTGTCGAGTTGAAACCATCGACAGCAGTCGCCAACAATTAGGCGCCGTCTTGCATGATCCACAACTGCAGTGTTGAACACAACGCGGCTACAAAGTTCACTGCGTCCCTTGCGAGCCGCTGGCAAACCACCGTAGCACCTGAGGGGTCGCATCCGCAGCTGCTGCTGCTGCTGGGTCTTGCCGGCTTGCCGGCATCATGACTGTACCTGCGGCGCTTTCTGTCTCTGCCAGTTCTCGGCTCATGTGCATGGCAACATCAGGAAAGGTGAAATGTTTTCCTCAAGGTCCGCAATGGTTTTCGCCACTGCGTGTCGCGTCAGATCGCAACTTTGCGCTGGCTGACGAATACACATACAGATTCGAGCCAGGCGCATCTTCTGGTTAGAATCACCCAACTTGCGCAGTGAAGATTTGGAAGCTTGTGGAGTCGTTCATGGGGCATCGTCAAGAGCGGTGAGCACCCAGCACTCCGTGTCAAGCTTTTGAGTTTGATGTTTGAATTTGTTTGATCATGCTCGAGTTGATCTGCATCCTCAAGATCATCGGGATGTCGGTATACTTGGGGGTTCACAGATTCACGAAATCAATCGCGTAGGGTTACAACGTTTGGTTTGCCATTTCCAATTTCAGTCAACCACTCTACCACCGTATGTCGCGCATGCTGCGCATGTGGGCCGCGTGCGCCAGAGCCACCGGGGGTGCGAGGGCGCTCAGGGCTCTCGGAGCTTTTCGGCGGCCGGTGTCTACGCAGGCGTGGTGTAACAATGTGTAGGGGCGAAGTCAAGGTGGCGTTTCCAATGCTAGTTGCACGATGCGTTCCGCTGTAGCTATATGGCTGCCAGTCGACGATGGGCCGGCTTTACTTCCAAAGCGACCAGGCCGAGAACTGTTGTTCTTGCTCTTGCTCTTGCGGGATTGGTCCATGCCCCAAGCAACCCACGAGGAACCTCTTCATTTTTGCCACAGCCAGCGCAGAACAAGAAAACAATGCACATTTGAAGCCGGAATGCCGACCGAAAACACGCCAAAGGAGCCAACACAAGCTGACACATGCTGTACGCAGGTGCCCCGCAGCATTCTCTCCACTGGCCGAGTGGGCACGAATCGAGACCTCCTGGGATCCGATGGAGAGTTCTTCGGGACGGACCCTGTTGCACTGGAGGCCTGTGGTCACCCGGCAACCATCGAAAACCCTGCCGTTTGTTCATGCATTTCATGCAGAGGTTCCGATCGAGAATGGGAGAGACCAGCTCTTGAACTTGGATGACAACGGGTTCTGCTTGCGCCGCCACGCCGGTTTCTCAGACCGTGGCATCTGCCTGCAACAGATGCAGGAAGGGCCTGAGAAGGGTAATTTTCTTGACCTTTCTTGTGTTGGCAGTTTAGCTGGCCTAGCAGCACTCGACACTCATATGCTGATGGCTCTCTGCTGTGTCGGGTCCTACCGGGGTTTGGTGCAGAGCCTTGGGAGCTGAGCATTAGACCAATATGCGACTTCTGAAATGTGGATCCCAAGCTGTCTTAAAGTCTAGGCAACTTCCCCTGTTTGAAAGCAGCTGCACAGCCTCAGCCCATCTCAATTCTCAAATTCTTCACAATTGTCCGAATTGCCCTAGCCACGACTGGTAGTTGCTGGCAAAGTCTTGAGCCACCGAAGTGGCAGGTGAACATAACAGGCGGAGAAGAGCCCATATCTACAACAGCCAACAAGAACTCTGCCGCTTTGTTCGCCTGCGTGGCAGTAGCAACAGCAGTTACATTCCACAGTCGGAAACGCATGCCCAGGTCTTTCGACTTAGGATTTTGGTGGACCACGTGCACAATTGCCATCTTGGGGAGGGAGGATGTATGAATTCTAGCAAAGGGGGCCCCGAACCGACAAGAACCAGGGTCTGGGCGCAAGGCGGGGCCTTTGTTTGTTTTTCTATTTTGTTTTTCTGGGTGTGGGGAGGCGGGGGGTCTAACAGGAGACCAAGAGGAAGAGGAAGAGGAAGAAGGAAGAAGGAAGAAGGAAGAAGGAGGAAGGAGGAAGGAGGAAGGAGGAAGGAGGAAGGAGGAAGGAGGAAGGAGGAAGGAGGAAGGAGGAAGGAGGAAGGAGGAAGGAGGAAGGAGGAAGGAGGAAGGAGGAAGGAGGAAGGAGGAAGGAGGAAGGAGGAAGTAAGAATAAAAATAATAGTGAGAAGAAAGCAAGTAGAAGGAGAAGAAGAAGAAGAAGCAGCAGCAGAAGAAGCATAAGCAGAAGAAGAAGAAAAATAATATTAAACGTAAGAAGAAGGAGCAGAAGCAACAGCAGCGACAAGAAAAACCAATAACGACACGGATATCCAGTGAGGGCCTCGACTCTGTTGTGGCGGTGGTGGTTGTGGTGTGCTTGTGCTTGTGCTTGTGCTTGTGCTTGTGCTTGTGCTTGTGCTTGTGCTTGTGCT